ACCAGAGGATAGACCAACCAGAGGAGCTCTGGTCTATACAACCAGAGGGGCTCTGGTCAGTACAACTAGAGGCGCTCTGGTCCTAAAGGACTTAGAATCCAGAGGCTCTGGTCAATACAACCAGAGGCTCTGGTCGTCCAGAAGAGCTCTGGTCCTAAAGGACTTATAGTCCAGAGGCTCTGGTCAATACAACCAGAGGGCTTCTGGTCTTCTTCCAGACTTAGTTGATTTTCGCACAGCCGCTGGTCTTCTTAGTCGTTTTAGCACAGCGGCATCTTCAGATGTTCCATCCTTAGCCCCGATTGCTTAATAAAACTTTTTAGACTAATTAGGATCAATTTGATTCTAACAAGGGTTATGTCCGGATTACAACAAGCATAGATGATAGACCAAGTCTTTTGTGCAATGAATGACAAACTCGATCAAGAAGGTATGCGATTTACTCAAATACGGTTGAGACTATGAGAGGATCACGAAGTAGAAAAATGACTAAGTGTGAAATCTGGGTAAGACTTGAAAGCAAGGAACTTTGAATCCAATCAAAAAATGAACGATTTAGACCAAATTAATCCGATCAAAACACACAAAAACACAAAAACAACTACTTTTTCATCCAAAAATGGATCAAAAACTGACTTTTTGAAGAACTTTTTAAGAACACCAAAAAATTTCAAATTTTCAAATTGCACAAATTTCATCAAATCTTGAAAATGAATGATCAACTTACAAAATTTTGTGAATAACAAAGATTCACGAATCAAATACGCACACTTTGATCATCCTTTTAACACCAAAACACAAAAATTTGAAAAAATTTCGAATGAAAAAACTTGAAAAATGAAGAACATAAAATGAACAAATCATGAACAATAAAAAATTTCTAGAAAAATTTCTTCAAAGATATGATTTCTTCATGTGATTTCTCTGCATATCCAGTTCTGATACCAATTGTTAGTCCCACTTTATGATCAATCTTCATATATCTTCATGAATTCATGGCAAACTCATATGAACATGTATGAACATCTATGAAGAAGTTGAGAGAAATAGTCAACAAGTCAAACTGTTATAAATCTCTTAAATATACGTATGATTACAATTAAGCTTCTCTACACTAATTCACTACAAGACAAAACTTTGTATAGGGTCAAACATTGAACCCTTCTAGTCAAAGTCAACAACTCTTACAAAGTCAAACACGTTAACTTTACAATTATAGACAATTATAAACTTTCAAGACGAATACAATCTATCACTAAAATTCAGTTCTAACATATACTATCATAAGTTATGACATCTTCATAGAAGAGTCTTGTTCTTGTTTGAACCTCCCCATAAAAATCATTTTAGAAAATAAATTAAAAGTAAATATACAATTATTTATATAATTAGGCCCTGTTTGTTTTTTTTTTAAAAAGCACTTAATTGCCTCTTATGTCTGAATCGGTCAGACATTGAGATATTAAGTGCGTTTGTTTTTTTTTTTAAATTAAGTGCTTAAAAGCTCTGAATAGGTCTGAATTATTTAGAGGTAACCTAAAGTCTGAAAACCTCTTATTTCGCGTCGCCTTCACCTACTGCTCTCGCTCCCTCTCCATCGCTCAACAGGATTGCTCTCTCCATCGCATCGCCTACTGCTGTCGCTCAACCTCTCCATCGCTCAACAGGATTCGCTCATCTCCATCGCGTCGCCTACTGCTCTCGATCTCTCTCTCTCAATCGCTCAACAGGATTTGTCAATATCTCCATCGCGTCGCCTACTACCTCTCGATCTCTCGATTTAAGGTATCCATCTCGATCTCTCAAGCTCTTTATCTCTCGATTTTCTTTCTCTTGCTTGGTTAATTTCTGTTTTGCGGGTTTAGGGTTTACCTCCTATAAGGGTTTTTGTATGTGAACCCCACGGTCCTATAAGGGGTTTTTTTATTTGGTCTGTTAATCCTACAGAGTATCGTGTGTGTGAGCATTCATGTATTTATAAATTTAATTATTTATTTGGCCGATTTCTTACTAGGATATGATCTTTGTCTTCCTATTTCTTCTTTCTCCTTCATTCTCTTGACATGCTTGGAAGACAAATGTGCGTAGCCAAATGGTGTGTTTTGTGATTCTTTTGGGAATGTATATAAGATTGTGCTTTGGAACACTAGTTTAGGTGGTGTGTTGTCGCTGGCGTTATCTGAGTTGAAATCCTTAAGGATTCTGACCCTCTTTGGGAACAGATTCACTGGAAACATACCACCGGAGTTTCAAGAATTCACCACTTTATGGAAGATCAATGTCAGCTCCAATGCCTTATTTGTGAAATCCCAGGCCTAGTTTACTTGTCTTTGAGGAACAATCTGTTAACTGGAAGTGTTGAAGAACAGGTCTCAAGATGTCAAAGGTTGGAACTTTTGGATCTTGGCAGCAATCTTTGACTATACAGACTATAAATCCCCCCCCCCCCTTCTAATGCTATCATTATTTAATCCTATATTATAGGATCTCATAGACCTTTTTAATCCAATCCCAACTGATTTGGATAAAAGGTTCATTGGTGTGAAATCCTATTGAACTTTTTCATATTTTACTTTCATGAGAGGAACTATAGTAATCTATGTTATGTGCTATAATAATCTGCTATTTTTTTTATCTTTTCTGCTTGATTTAGTCATGGATGATAATGTGCGTGTGAAGTGGACACACGAACTTACCAAACGGTTTCTAGAGACTTGTATAGAAGAGGTCCATAAAGTGGGTCGAAATGGAGGTAGTCTTCGCAAGGAGACTTGGGTGAAAGTGGCAACCAAACTTGGAAGTTGAACAAGTTGTTATTTGGTAATGTGTTTTGGAAGTTGAACATGTTATTTGGTAATGTGTTTGATATTGAAGTTTCATTATATTTTAATTTTATTTATGTTTTTAACAGGTTTATCATGGATAATAATAACAGAACTATACTTCTCATCGTCGTATTTTTATATATGTTCTACTTGCGACAAAGGCGTTTAAAAAGGAAAAGAGATAATATGTCTGCAATGACTGGACGTCAATTTACGAATGAACTACTTGAAGGTAGTGATCGGCAATGTATTGACTTGTTGCGAATGTCCCGTGAAGCTTTCATTCGATTATGTGATTACTTTAAAGCAAAATGTTGGTTAACGGATAGCAAACATATATTGGTCGAAGAAAAAATGGCTATCTTCCTGATGATTATAGGTCACAATCAACGTTATAGAGTGTTGAAAAACAGGTTCCAGCACTCAACACAAACAATTCATAAAATTTTTCATGAAGTGTTGGATAAAATGATGGAGTTTGCAAAAGAGATCATAGTTCCTACATCATTTAATCCTAATCCAGACATCCCTGGGAATAATAGAAGGTTACGACGAATATTTAAGGTAAATAATAATTCAATAATATTTGTATAACTTTCCTTAATAAATTTATTTTGACTATTTAGCTTTAATGTAGGGAGCAATTGGAACATTGGATGGAACTTTAATACATGATGTCGTCCCTATTCAAGAGCAACATTTATATAGAGGACGAGGAAAGGGTGAATGTTATCAAAATGTTTTAGCAATTTGTGATTTCAACATGGTTTTCACATTTGTTGTTGCCGGATGGGAAGAAATTGCGCATGATTCTAGAATTTTGTCTGAAGCTTTAACAAATGGTGATATTGGATTTCCATTTCCTCCTTCAGGTATATAATTGATTTTACTGGTAATATATTTGCTATATTCATTTGAACAAACATTTTATTTATTGTTTTCAGATAAATATTACCTATGTGATGCTGCGTATACGAATACTCGAGGATTTATGGCGCCGTATCGTAATGTTAGATATTGGCTCGGAGACTTTCGTCGTCGACGAGCAATGAACAAGTATGAAAAGTTTAATCATTCTCATGCAAAACTTAGAAATGTTATTGAACGCTCTTATGGCGTCCTGAAAGCACGTTTTCCAATATTGAAAAGAATGACACCATTTACACTTGAGGTTCAAAGTGATGTTGTTATTGCATGTTTTGCGGTTCACAACTTCATACGGAAGGAAGGTTTAAGTGATGAGCTATTTTCTGAGTATGATCAAACCAACGAACAASARAACGATGACGAGRATGAGGCTGAAGAGATTCAATCGCATGGGAGTGCCGCTGACCAAACATATATGGCTAGTTTAAGAGAAGAAATTGYGACACAATTACAAAATGAATATTGATTCTAGTTGTTATGAGACTTTTATTCGTGTTTTGAATCAATTGACGTATTTCAATTGAATTTTTGAATGTATTAAAAGTATATGGTAGTTTACAAATGGTTTAAATGATTGGATATTTCAGTTAAATTTAATTGAAATGAATTGATTCAGATTTCAGACTTCAGAAGTTTGTCAGTTTACAAAAACAAACAGTCTTATTGATTCAGATTTCAGACGTAAAAACAAACAGTTTGACTGATTCAGATTTCAGATTTCAGACGTAAAAACAAACAATCTGACTGATTCAGATTTCAGACTTCAATACCACCTCTTAAAATTCAAAAGTAAATTCAGACTTCAGACTTCAGCACCTCTTAACAAAACAAACTGTCACCTTAATAAATCGTGATTATATTTATTTTTGTTTACGGAAATCATTTTATTTTGAAAATAAGCGTTATGCCCTTAAAAGGCCACCGCAAAATTAGAAATCTTTTGCGATGGCCACCTCCACCGCTTGATGCTCTGTTCCTACCGCCGGAAAAAGGCCGCGGCCGCCCTTCGCGTATTCATCTACTCTTCAGAATCTGCAATATCACAGACGAAGGTGCGTTCTCTTGTTCTTCCTCCTCTCTCCTTCCTCATGAATCGGTTCATAAGATCGTGATGCCGTTTGTGTAGAAATTAGGTCATATGTGAATATCTCGATTTCTGTTGATGTCTTTTTTGTTTCATTTATTCGATGAAAAATCAAAATTTCAGGGCTAAATCAAACAGAGAAATTTTGCTTAGCTAAATGTTGAAACCTAGGAAAGTTAGTGGTAGGGGAGAAACAACGGGTGGAGCTGCACACTATGCATTTGGAGCCCTAGAAGATGATATGATTATCAAACATAGGCTTCTCACACGAACAACAACCACAAGGGGTGAACCTCCTTTAAAAAAGCTTCAAAAGAAGTTCACTGCTTTTGCTCTGGAAACTGAGAAGGACGCAGAGAACTTTGCTGATTGTGAGAGGCTTGCCAAGGCTTTCTTGCAGGAGCTGAAGACTTTTGAGCTCCCCTTGGTGAAGACGAAGGCAGTTATTGATGCAAATGTGAGAGAGAAGGAGAATTTCAATGAGTTGAATGATGAGATTAATAGGAAGATAGTGGAGGCACAAGATGATATTGAGGATTTGAAGAGGCAACTTGAGGAGAGCAAGGTGGAGAGGAAGCATAAGGAGGAGTGTGAGACGATTAGGAAGTTGATTGCTGCACAGCAGCCCAGATATGAGACTCAGAAGCTGATTAATGAACTGGAGAAGGAGATTGCAGCATTGGAAGCAGAGAATACTGCAAGTTCAAGGACACTGGAACTTCGTAAAAAGCAATTTGCTCTTTTGTTGCATGTGGTATGTACTTTTTGCATAGTAAGCGTCCTTAAAATGTTATTTGTTATTCTATGTGATGCTTGCATTATAGTTGGCATATGGTAACAGTGCACTAATTGATTTCTCAAGGACGAGTTATATGTGTAGGGTTCTCTTGGCCCAAAATAGAAATAGAGGAAACTACATAGCTCTTGGTAGTCATGGACCAGTGATATAATAGTTTTATCTCTGATTTATACTTTCTAAGAGGGTGTTAGAAGCTCTGTTGCTGTAGTAGACACACCATATAGCTTGAGGTTCTTTCGCAAACCCAAATTACCAACATGGTGCTTTGGGTTCCTAGCAGGCCTGTAAATGGCAACCGGGGAATCCCAAACCAGCTTTGGATTAGATGACAATCAAATTGTAATTCAACCATTTAACATTAACCGAAACAAACTTGAATATATCTATATTTGTTTTCATTAAATTTTTGACGGATTGTATTTCAATTCTGAATATTTATAATAAATATATTAATACAAACTAAACGAACACCAATTCATATAACTCTTAGTTCTCTCACATGATGTAGAATCTTGTTTTCTCATCATGATGTCTTTCTTACAATTAATATTGCAACATGCACTCTAGTCAAAAATTAACTGTAGCAGTACACAGTTTCCAATGTTGTTGGTACTAGGCTACTAACTTCATGACATCCAAACAGAACGTTTTTTCTTGTTTAACTTGGTAAATGTAGGTAAAATGCTGGCTATTTGTTGGTTTTTTTACATATCTGATAACACTTTGAAGAGAGCCAGAGAAATTGGACGTGCATAGTTTAACTATCTCCAGAACTGCATGGCCTGAAACTTGTATTTCATTCGGAAGAATTTTGAAAATGAAAATACTGAATAACAAATAGTCCTTCTGATCTTAAAACTAAGTCGGCATCATAGTCCTTCTTGTCTAGATGTTGTCTCTGACACATGTTGCTCCTCCTTTTAGGAACACCTTGTTCATATAACAGAATCTTATCTTAGTTAGTTCATGTAGAGAATTATGTCACTAACCATCTTTGTATATCCAAAGTATACATGTTTTAATGTGTATCTATTTCTGCCTTTGAATTAAAAAGAAGAAAAGATAAGAAACCAACTCTACCTTATGCGGAAAATTATTTCATTCTCATGAATGTTTAACTTTTAAATAGTTGCATCTTCAAAGGCTCCTGCTTTAGAATCCCAAATGCTTGCACACCGCTCCATATATGATGGTCTGTTGATCCAAGATCTCTATGATCCTAATGATGATCACTCTCTCAAAGTGAGTCGTAGGGAAGAGGCATCCCAACCAACCCTCAAGTACCTGCACGGTGCAGGTCATGTTTCCTCGTATTGGTAACTATAAAATGCAGAGAGTTTAAACCAATCATTCTGTTCAGATTTGTTTATTATTCTTCAGTGACCTGGTTGAAATTTTTTGACTAGATTAAGAGAGTTTATCTAATTTACTTCAAAACTCATGTTGCTAATCGAGTAAACATATATAAACTAATTGTGCCTTGCACCAGTCAACAAGTTCTTTTAAGAAAGGAGTTTTGAAGGTTAAACCAACTCTTATTCAAGTGCAAAGTTCTCAAATCATATAGAAAGTTATTATTTGGGCACAAAAGGTGCAGCTTATTCTACCACATCCAACCAGAAGGTACCAAATTCTTAATTTGTGGTCTCACTGTGGTAGAAAATGGATGAAGTTTAACCTAACTTTTGACCTGTTTTGCTAATTCTGTACATTTTTGAGCAAATGTTACAAAACAAAAGAAGACTTTCCCAGCTTGGAAACCTATAAGACTCATACCACTGTTCTACAACATCTGATCTTATATTTTGGTCCCAAATAATTTGAAGTTGGCTGGAGGTACAAACCGCATATATCCTGTGTTGGTGTACTGCATATGTTTGTTGATATTATGGAACAATTTTTGTAGTTTCAAGGCTGTTGCTGGTGTCTTCATGGCTATAGCTGTTTACTTAATTGAACATTATATGAAGTTAGTTATGTTTTTTGGCCCTTAGACAGAGAAAGTTAAATGCATTGGAACCTCGTTCCTAGAATGTTTGAAGTCCTGTTTCATGTGGACTCTATGGAGTATCCAGTGGCTCGATTTAAGATTAGGTTGGGAGGTGGAACCCTGATTGTAAAAATATGGCCCATAAGTGTCTATTAAGGACTTCTGTACTAAAGGTCTATGTATTGGGTTCAAATTTTTACGACTGTTCATAACTGGTATGCTGAGGCACTCTGTTTGTATAGCTTGAATGCCAGTTGGTTCCCTAGCAGTTTGTTGTTTTAAGTATGTCAAAAGCTTAGGTTACACCTCAATTGATGTGCTAGGAAGTCTTCGAAAGTGCTAGAATTTTTGTCCTATTGCATATATAATTCCATTAGAATTAGGATTCACAAGTGTTGTGTCAAGCTCAGTAGTGAACAATACACCAAGCATGCTCAATAGTTAATATGTGACCATGAAGGGTTGAAGAGATGTGATGACCTGAAGACCAGCTTGTTTAATACTTTAATGTGGTCTGTTGAGAAACAAAACAACAACAACAACTTACACATAAAGAGCATGCCTGAAATGAAATTGTTGGTCAGTATGAGCAGATGCATGAAAGAAGTACTTAAAATTGAAGGCATGATGGTACATAGCTCAATAATATAGCAAGTGGATTTGTATTAGGTGGTTAAGAGAAACAATGTAGCATGTTATCAGGATTTTATTACCACTCTAAGAGCAGTTCAAAGTTAATAAGCGTAAAATAGTATAGAACAGATGATTTGTAGGTCACTTATGTGACTCAATTATTTTTGTACGCCTAAGCACCAGGATATGGATACATTGATGTGTTAATATGCATTTGTGGCAGTGTGGGTTTGATAAGGAAAAGCCCTCAAGTGTGTATGAACTATTATTACATATCAGTTGTAAGCATTCAACTTGAATTATGATATTGTGCCATTGGACTACTTAAGTTGCCTAGTTAGTCCTGTGTTGCTTTTTCACCATTGTCTCTTCATGTGCATATGACATGGACCTCAATTCAGTTTACATTAAATGAATAATCATAAGACCGTAACTACATATGACCAACACCTACCTTCAAAGTTCAACCGGAAGCTTTGTTCCAAAGAGAGAGGTACGTCTCGATTTCTTGTAGTTAAAATGAATGCTTTATACGATCAATACTTGTATGAATTTCATTATTTTGTGAGAGAACATTGATAACTACATTAATCTTGGTCTGTATTGTACTGTAATCAACATGTTCATGATGCCTTCATGTAAAACTTATGGATGGACGCAGTTAGTAATAGACTACCTGCAAGTTATTCTTCCAATTACATCCTAAATTCAAACCCATGCCACATGCATGCAGTGTTATGGCATTGGGGGATCTTAAATTTAGAGCGATTGAAATAGGACAGGGAATATGTTGGTGTCTGAAAAGAGTCTTTCCCGAGTTTTGTGACTTAAAGCATCTTCCACTATTTTGAGTATTGCTTTTGTAAATTTTCTTCATGCTAGTTAATCTTAAGTAAAAAAACTTGTCACTAGAAGCTTTATGTTAAACATATAGCAATAACTGATACGTATCAATCTCACTGGGCTATTTATCAACCAACATGGTAAAATAAGAAAAGAAACATAAGTGATGGTAATTACCTTACAGAAGATTATGATTTAATAATTGACTCGAAATAACATGACAAGAGTTTCAAAGGGGAGAGTTAAAACAACAGGAAAATGTAATTCACAAGTAAAGATCAGAAAAACAAGAGTTGGCCTTTCATACCATGTCAAGTCTCCTGTAGGAGAGGCTCATTAATCTCTATTCTCATTTTCTTGGTAAGTAGGTAAGCCGATAAAAGGATATCTTACGATCTGTATTCTTCTGAATATTTTTTCCCGTGTACAAGCCTTTCTCTTGAAGTTCTATGCTAATATACACTGCTGTCCATCTGTTATATACGATGTTTGCCTAAAACTGATTCATTTGTTTTCTAAAATTTGGTTTTCGTGCTTCTTTTTTCTTCTTCAGTGAGATTTGTAGGCATAAATCACATATGGATTTAGTATACTAGATTACTGGTTAACTATGGTTAGAGTTACTCAGGCTGTAAATCACATGTAAAAGCTGGATTTCCTTCAAGACTATTTGTATAAGCGAGAAATATGATCTGTGGTATTGCGAAAAATTGTCTGGTTACAATTATTCCAGCTGAAAATTAGATGTAGGAGAGAGATTGCCTTCAATACTACTTGGATAAGCGAGCAATAAGATCTGTAGCATATGCAAAATATTGTCTACTTTGATTAGTTACTATGCCTAGAAGGATGAAACATACGTTAAAGCATTAATGCCTTGTTTCGAGGTTTGAAAATCAAGCATCTTGCAAAGAACCACCAGCGCTAAAAGTTATTCTGATACCATAGTAGACATACTGGAATTTTGTATCGGAAATTTGGAATTTCTATTAACGTTCCTGGCCATGTATAAACTTTGGGATTCAACATTCTCATTGCAAATGTACGTTTTTACTGTCATGTAAATAAACATTATTTACTCCATATAATGTACAACTATTGGCCTCCTAGCACAGCTTTTAATTTTCTCCGACTTGTATATATTATGATACAAACCTCTCGAGAGGCTAAATCCTTTGCTCAATAATGTATTTGGTTTGCCATTCTGAACAGAATAAGGTTTTTTATTACTACTATCATAAGGACTGGAATGGACTTAGATAGAGATTTTTTTCTTTTTAACTATGAACATTTATGCTTAGTTCTCTCAGCCCACCTTTGTTTCTATCATTATTTAGATTTGGGGATAGAAAGTTGAAGTCTTAAGGATGCTATTGAGTTCAATTTGAAGATGAATGTGATAGTCTGTTGATCAGCCTTCTCTTTCCCTTGACAGTAATGTACTTCTCTATCTCTTCATTCTCTTGTGCATGAATCCTATGTACTTGTACAAAAGTGGAGTTTGCTCCCTTATCATGAGATGCCCTAGGAAGAGTGGTTAAAGTGTACGACCTAAGTTGTCGTCATTTATCTGTTTTCGTAATCTTTGATGGACTAATTTATTTTACATACTTCTACTGCTCCAGGATAGATGGTTAATTTTGCCGACTTTGATAAGAGTATCAAAACATATCATATTGTTGATAGCACATACATGTAATAAGAACCAACAGTTCTGATTAGGATGACATTGGCACTCCTATCCATCAGCCAATAATACTCTTCTGACCTTGTCCATCAGTCAATTTAATTATTGACTTAACTCTAGGTGATAATACCAAAACAGATGAGGGGTATCTCAACATTATCATATCTGTCTTTCTCTCTTTGTCAAACTTTTCACAAGGGGTCTTCACGGAAATAGGTGCTCTACTCTTTGTGGTAGAGGTGGGGAATGTGTACACCCTCTCTAGACTCCACCTCGAGGGGGCATATACTATACTGGGTTCGTTTGGTTTGGTTTTTTTATAACTAGGTCCTCAAAATAAGAACACATGCAACATTTTGTCCAGGGTATGTGCTACAACTGTATTTATATTGGGTTTCATTTTTACCTTAGCTCAACTAGTATGTGGTACAAGGCCTGTGCTTGCTTTACTAAGAACAGTTTTTTTTGAGAATAAAGAGGTTGCATATTAAATTTGGCTGCTTCTTAACTATCCTAACTTGATCAATTTGTTTCATTTTAGCAATGCTTGGCTCACCAATGTATCTATGATGTGTTAGGAAATCTTTGGTACCATTGGGGACCAAATCAAACCAAACTAGCCCAGTATATCCCACCTGGATGTGGGATTGGTGGGGATGTATGTAGACTTAACCTCTATCTTAAAGAGTAGAGCGGTTGTTTATGTGAAAAACCCCCGCTTATGAAAGGTGTGCGGAATAAAGAGAAACTTCTATCAAAGGAATAGAGGAAATAGCAAAAGTAGGTCAGAAAAACAGAATGTGAAACAAGAAACAAGCATCAAACAACAAGAAAATCAGGTTAGAAGTAGACATCAACATATTAGAAGTTGGTACAAGTAGACATAACCACACATCAGCACGCTGGTAACCTAACGGCTGGCTGCACTAACCCTATCCCCCACCCTCTACCTCTCCAGCTCTTGACTATGCTAGCTACAAAGCCCCTCTCCTAGTCTACTACCTAGTCCATCTCAATAACTCCTATCAGAGGCCCGTCTTCAGAAATGTCTGAAGTCTCCATGTTTAAAATTCTGGTAGCATTAAAACGGTAAAAAACCTAACAAAATCCTAGGATTTGAAGTAAACAAACTTTGAGTGTCAATCACTTTAGAAATTCATCATCTTGTCTTTTTAACACCGAAGACCACAAAATATCTTCCAAGTTGATGAGGAAAACATTGCTGTCCTTCACAACTGGTGCATCACAAATCGATAAATAAGTTATAGATACAAAACCGTGTGATTACTAATTGATCAATATATGTTATCTAAATTGTTGAATATAATAAATAAAGGGAAAAGTTCAAAAAAAACCAACGGACTTTACTGTTTGGAACGATTAAGTCCTTGGACAATTTTTTGGAACAAATAAACCCTTGGACTTTACAAAACCAATTAAATAAGTCCTTGGACTTTACAAAACCTGTTAAATAAGTCCTTGGACTTTACAAAACCTGTTAAATAAGTCCTTGGACTTTCTAAAATATGTTAAATACATTTTGTTAGTGAAAAATGAACGAAAAACAATGGATTTTCATATTTTGAACGATCAAGTTCATAAATATTTTTTGAACGAAAAAAGTACTTACATTAAAAAAAACAAATATACCATTCTCATTACTATTCGTAAAATATACAAAAGTTGTATCCAAAGCATAATAATCTGCATACAAATTTTGGACATAATTTTACCAAAAATTAAACCAAAATATATACCAAAAGTTGAATCAAAGTATGTAACAAAAGTTGAGCCAAAGTATGTAACAAAAGTTGCGCAAAGAAAATACTAACAATTGCGCCAAATATACCAAAAGTTGCGCCAAAAAATACCAACAATTGCGCCAAATATACCAAAAGTTACGCCAAAATATACCAAAAGTTGCGCTAAAATATACCAAAGTAATGCCTAATCTATGTCAAGGTCATGGTATGAACTATTCTTCATTTGCACTTTAAATTCTGGTGGAGATATAGCCATTTGACTTTCTTGTAAACCTTCTTGATGTCTAACAACATCACCACTTTCATGATGTTCTTCATCACCAACAGTAGTATCATCTTCATCACGGTCTTCATCGTTAACAACAGCCTCTCTTGAAATTGAATACGGTATGATGCCTTCACACCTGAAGATGTCTTTAATGATAAAAATAAAGTGTAAGCAATAGTCATAAAAAATGTTTCCCATATTTAAAATAAAGTGTAAGCAACAAGTCCCATAGGAAAATCAAGCAGATACATTATATCCTTCCCTTTCAACTTGAAGCATGGTTTCAAGTTTCCTGTATTTAAAAGTTATTTTGTCTCTCCTATCACTCGAGCAACAATGAATTATATTATAAGTATGTGCTTATTTTTGGAGATTGATGATATGAGTAAGGCTTTAATAAAATGAATTGACAATGGGAGAGCATTAGAAGTTCAAATCCCCCCAAACCATACCATCAAACCAAGCACCTCCTTATAATTCTCTAGTAAATTACATATATGGAAATGTCAGTGGCATTAGATAGTCACACAAGTTAATTAGCAGCACAATTAAGCAAGTATGCATAAATCTAGGCTACTGTTACCTAATGTGTGGTATGATTTGGTTAGTAGCACACATACATATCTTGACTCTAATGTTTTTTAGATGCAAAACTGGTGGAAGAAAATCTTGTTATTAGATAGAAAGGGAGTGGGAAAATCTCAAATAGGATGCAAAAAACAGTCAATTAAAGGTAATACCATCAGGTAGTAGTTATCATGAATGGCTAAGGAGCAATGAAACCAAACTAGTCACAATAGATTGAATAACTTGCATTGTGGAACCAATGACACCAATGAAACCAAAATTATCACAGCAGAGACATGAAACCTATGAGACAAAAATAATCATATGAAAAAGAGAGATGAAAGCAAAAATAATCACAATAGATTGGATTTTGAAAGTCGAGAGATCTTACCTGTTGAATCGATGGTAGGTTTGAAACCAGAGGTCATCGCTAGGTTTCTGACAGGATTTCAAGGGTGCGATTCTAACAGATGGTGCGTCGTTGGTTTTCCAACTGATGTTACAACGGCGGAGAAGAAACCAAAGAAGAAGAAAAAAAGAAATCTGGAGCAAACCTGATTAGCGAGCGACAGGGGCGGCGACGAGCGGAGGTGGTGCGGCGACGATCTGGTACGGCGTTGACGAGCGAAGGTGGTGCGGCAACGATCTGGTACGGCGGCGATGAGCGGAGGTGGAGGGAGCGATGGAGATGACGGTGTGCGAGAGGGAGAAGGAGATGGGAGGGGAGGGAGCGATGGAGGGAGCGATGGAGCGAGAGGGAGAATGATTTTTTAAGTTTTTTTTAATCTAATAAGTTACCTTCTCTTCAGGTTATAGGTTACCATTTCAAGGAATGAGGACTGACTTAATAGGTTTTGTAAAATCTAAGGATTTATTTAACAGATTTTAGAAAGTCCAAGGGTTTATTTGTTCCAAAAAATTGTCCAAGGACTTAATCGTTCCAAACAGTAAAGTCCATTGGGTTTTTTTGAACTTTTCCCATAAATAAATGACAGGAAGCAATGTGCTTTTTAGTGTTGAAGTCTAGTAACTAAATAATACCGTAGTTACTAATGACTGATTAGTAACAAATCTGGATTGTGTTAACACTAACATATAGCTATATAACAAATTAACAAGAACCAAGGAATTGCTACTTCTATTTAAGCTAGAAAAAAATTAGAAAATCTTCCATACATAAGATTTTGTTAAATAAGGAAAAAATGCATATTAGTGGAAAATAAATACCTATAGTATGCACACATGGGATGAAACAAAGGAAATATATGATAACTACACATGGTAGTGAAGGTGGATACATTCACTTCATTCTTATTTTTTTGTGGGCGATATGATTCTAAGGTTAATTGATCTGAGGCTTATGGGAACCAGTGGTTCTAATAAACTATTTGTAGTTTGCAGATTATGTTCGTTACAACTGTTAAAATGCTCTTAGCATAATAACAGTCAAGGGTAACTTCTTAATTAGGTTGATTTGTCGTATTTTTGCACATTCATACAGTGGATATTAATTAATCTATTAATCCTGATCCCGATTCACCAACGTACCTTGGCTTTCTGAGAGTGCTTTTGGTACACAAACGGGACTGGACATGATTGGACGTATTGGACTGGGTAAGACTTGATCAAGAGTGAGGTAGGCAGTTGAAAGACCTTTTTAGGAAGTTTTAGGGTTTTAATTTAATACGGGTAGTTTAATAATATATCAATCTTGTCCCATCTTGATTTTTTTTCCATCTCTTTTTGTGGGACAAAAATAATGCACTTTTGTTCCACTCAGTCCAGTCTTGCCCAATCTTATCCCAGTCTAATGTTGCATCAAACATGAGACGATCTTGTCTCGCATACCAAACGCATTAGGGTTATAAGAGCAGCCTTTCTATGCCATCTTTCACTGGCATTTTGCACATATTGTTTCTGTTACAATCTTCCATTCCCAAATGAGTTATCTTACTTATTTCTCCAAAAGATTAAAATGTTCTTGATATGTTATGCAGGTGGATGAGTTACAGAACACCATCGAGGAAGAGCAAAAGAGTATGGTGGAGGAAATGCGAATGGCGATGTACGAGAACAAGAACATTGTGGAGGATGTTGCTGGGAGTTCAGAAGCTATGGCCATTGATTAATGTATGTTTACTTTGTCTTAAATTGATGAACCTTAATCTTAAGGTCTTTTAGTTGCATCATTTTTATATTCCCTTTCGCAGTTTGCCAACAAGATTCGCAATCCTCACTACAACAAAAATAGGTTTGTAGGATGCCAAAAAATGTGCAAGTGTTCAAATAGACCGTTCGATAGCACTTAAATTTATAGGACTGAACAATCAAACATCTTATCTAAAAATGTAACAATAAGTTTATAGCATGTTTTTGGATGTCGTAACAAGTGTTTGTAGGCATATTTTAAAATAGCTTTTTATAGAACACTATTTGAAAAAAAATATCTTATAAAAACAAATGTACTATAAAAAGATGTGTTCATAGGGTACTTAAAAATATCATATAAAATAGTTAATACGACACTTTATTTTATAAGTTCCATAAAAAACTTTTGAAGGCGCTCAAAAGCGTCCTTCAAACTTTTTGTTACACTTTTAGATTCGACGCTTTTATGTTTGGTCCTATAAAGTTAAGTCCTATAAAGCAGTCTATTATGACACTTAGACATCAATGTATGGGTTGGGCTGATCCGATTGAAGGCATTTAAACAACTTAACCAAATGTTTGCGATTTGAACAACCTAAAATGTTTGTGATTTGAAAAATCTCAACCCAACCCAACCTAAACCATGCAGATTGGGTTGGGTTAGCTGGGTACATCAAAATATTCTCGTATGTTTGTTACCGTGAATACGGTGTTTTCTATACTCATAAATCTTTTTTATGATCAATTAGTTGATACAACTTATTCGTATTTCTTAAGTAGATTACATTTAACTGTTTTGCTTAGTTTGAATATATACGATCACATTACTTTTAACATATATACAAAAACGCATGTAGGAGTTATAGACGGAGGAGATTTAATATATATATATATATATATATATATATATATATATATATATATATATATATATATATATATATATAGAGGAGTGATCATATGAAAACCGCCTTCATTTGTGTAAACCGTGCAAACCACCTTTATCTGTCGATTTTATTGTTTAATCTTATGAAATTTTTTCATGAAATTGTTTAATATTGTGAAATTGTTTCATATAATACTTAATGAAACTGTTTCATGTATATCTCTAACATTAATGAAACTGTTTCATGTATTTCTCTAAAATTAAAATAATAAAGATGATAATATCTATGATTAACACCTTCCACAATAAAAATGATTAATCAACCTCTCATAATTACAAAAAAATGAACAAAATAAAAAATTATGATTGGTTGAATGAGGTTTTCACGGTTTTTACAAATTGAGTGGTTTTTATTTAGGGTCAAGATCAAATGTTAACCAAAATTTTTGTGTTAACTTTGCAAACCATGTCAATCAATCACAATCCATTCTTCTATTAGGTATCTATCATGTTCACAATTTAGTGGAGGAAACACGGTAGTAAAATCTTCGGTATCGTTCAAGCTATTATGGATAAATACATTGAAAAAAAAAATCGACAACATTGAGAAGATTAAAATAGTTTATGGTGACAATCGGAGTTCGAGTTCGGGAAATGAAGAAATTAACCAAAGCGAATGTCTTGGTAATGGATTAATATTTTATTAAACTCGTTTTAATCGAAATTATGTTTATTATGATGTGTTGTGTTTCTAGTAGTTCATATTGTGTTGATAAATTTTTTTCTTTAATTATTAATACGTATCTAATTCATATGTTCAACTGGAAGTACATGCACGACTCATTTTCATATTGTCATATTACCGACTTGTATGAATCATAAACCATCGTTTTCATGTTACTTCTATCATATGAACACAAGTGTTATTCTTTAAGCTTGATACCAAATCTTTATATTTGTGTAAGTGTTTGCACCCGGTGTTCATAGCGTCGGGGTTTTGTATTCATATATTTTATACGATATGAACAAGGGTGAACACGATATGAACAAGGGGTGAACAACCATGTAAGACCATAAACATATATGAACAAGGGGTGAACCTTAAACGGCGTGGATGCAATGCATATATAAAACTTCAATTGACAAATGATCGCTCCTGAATATGTTTATAATGAAGGAATTATTGTTCACAAGCTGTTCATATCGTGTTCATACATGTTTTATTTATTTATTTCCTTTCGTATAACAGTTATTCTTATTATGTTCATATTGTGTTTATAAATGATATGCAGCCAAAGTTCATATATATGTCGATTTTTTGTTCGTATTTGACACAATGGTTCATATGTATATAGTTGTGTTCATATGGTTTTACATTAACAAAAATCATATAATTTTTTGATTTTGTAACTCCCAATTAATGATATGGGAGTTACATAAAAAATTACCTAAATACCCTTTTCAACTTTGTTCACTTATCTTTATAAAATTTTAAAATTAAAAAAATAAGTTTTTATCATGATTAATTACAACCGTTTATTGAAAGATTTAATGGCCAAGATCGGTTAACAAAGTTAACACAAAAACTTTGGTTAACATTTGAACTTGACCATATGTATATATATATATATATATATATATATATATA